AGAGAATGGAAAGATCACTTTTAACACAAGCTAGTATATGTACTGACATTTGACAAAATTAACACCAGTTGATTAGAGAATGGAAAGATCACTTTTAACACAAGCTAGTATATGTACTGACATTTGACAAAATTAACACCAGTTGATTAGAGAACGAAATGACCAGGTTAACACCAGTTGATTAGAGAATGAAATGGCCAGTTTTATCACAAGCTACTATATGTACTGACATTTGACAAAATTAATACCAGTTGATTAGAGAACGAAATGACCAGTTTTAACACAAGCTAGTATATGTACTAACATTTGACAAAATTAACACCAGTTGATTAGAGAATGAAATGACCAGTTTTAACACAAGCTAGTATATGTACTGACATTTGACAAAATTAATAACAATTGTTTAAAGAATGGAAGGATCAGTTTTAACACAAAACTAATATATGGAAAGACATTTAATAACATATGTCAAAATTAATATCAGTTGATTAAAGAATGGAAAGATCACTTTTAACACAAGCTGGTATATGTACTGACATTTGACAAAATTTATACCAGTTGATTAGAAGATGGAAGGATCAGTTTTAACACAAAGCAGTATATGTACTGACATTTGATGACATTTTACAGAAGTAATACCAATTGTTCATAGAATGGAAGGATCACAACCTAATATATTTACTGACATATGACAGAATTAACACTACTAGTTGATTAAAGAATGGAAGGATCAGTTTTAAACACAAGTTAACAAATGTATTGACACTATACAGTTCATGATGTTTAACAGAACTAATACAGTTTATTAAAAAATTGAAGGATCATTAAGTAACACAGTTATCTACTGATAACTGAGGAAAAAATGGAAAGATCAATTAAGTAACAGAAATTAAGATATACTTACAGATGATGCCAGTTAAAATTACTGACACCATTTGTACAGAATGGAAGAAACAATTAAGTATTGCAAGTAACACCTAGCAATAGTTGATAACAGTTAACACAGCTGATGTAATTAGACAGAATTTATAATATGAGAGTATAAGAGAATGAAATCATCAATTAACTCTCTTGCTACAGACTCGGTCAATTTGACTGAGTTCATGACCCCAAAGTGAACATTAGAATTTTCATACTATAACTTTTAACATGTTTTGTGTATCTTCATGAAATTTGGTAATCTTTCAGTAAACATTACAAGTATTTTGTAGACATGAAAATCAGATTTTTTACGTAAGTGATGTGAAGTCATGTGAAGATTAAAAATACTTTTCTTCATCTGAAAATTTCATTTTTGTAATCTGTGAAACTTTCTAATTACATATTTAAAATTTTTTTTTCAGTAAAACATTACATTTTTCGGTTATTTTCTCTACTCTAACACTACACCCATTTGGCCAATTTGAATGACCTCGTAACTACCATAAAAAATTGAGAAATAAATCTAGATTACTCTTTGTTCTTTCTACAACAATTTCAAATTGTAATGTGAAAATACAACTGTTTATCCTGATTAGCTTAAAGCTCATAACAGTATACATCTGTTTATACCTAATTTTATTGCCCTTTGAACTGCATTTAAGTAATAAACCTGCAACACAAGTTGTAAATCACTTGGTGAATGTGCAGCTCACATTATCTTTTCAAATTACATGATGCATGAGCATATCTCATGAATAATTTTTATTATTTTTTCATTACCTTGTAATCTAACTTTATCTAACCTAATAAGTTTCTAATTTTTACATTTTACACATCTTTTTAAAATAAGAAATTCCACAAAAAGGTATCATTTTTAAAAATTTTAACTGCAATTAAATTTCTCTTTATGTATAGATTGTACTGCTGAGAGTTAATCACATGTTATAAGTCCAGTTCTGCATTAGGAACTACTTTCTATATTGCATTTTGTGGTCAATCTGATGGTCATGATTACATACAAATGCTACCACTGCACTTTCCATTGTTTCAGGCTTCTTGAAAGGATGGTGACATCATTCTCAGACAACACATCTTAACACTTTCAACAAACCTTTCATTCATATGTGGATAATGGCTTCCAAGACCATATTTACAAAGATCAAAGGCACAAATGTCTATCAGAACTGCATTAGGGGACTTCAACAACCTTTCACAAAACAATTACTGATTTCAAGTTTTGACTGGATGTTTATGAACCTTTAGCTTGTGAGTTTCATACAATAAGTTGTGCAACAATATTCAGTCATGTGACCTTTTTGTTCAATACTGTATATATATATATATATCTGTGTCAGCGTAAACTACTTGTACCTGATGATGACAAAACCTTGTCAAAACATTGTACATTTGCTGTTATGTTAAACTTATATTAAAGTTTTTCTTCATTACCCATTCAAGTTCCAAGTCTTATGTAGACAAAAAAGCAGAATTTTTAATTAAGTATCTTTACTGAAAATTTTTCCATAAATACATTGAGTCAGAGTGTTGCCTGTTCCAGGTGTAAAGTGATTTTCATTTTAATAATTAAAAAGTACTTTTCTTCATCTGACAATTTACTAAATTTCATTTGTGTAATCTCTAAAACTTCCTAAATAAATATCAAACATTTTTTTTTCAGAAATACTTTACATTTTATTTCTTATTTTCTCTATCATAGCTCCATATGGCATCAGTAAATTTGACCAACCTCATAACCACCATCACAAAATTAGGAAATAAATCAAAATTACTTTTTTTCTTTCTAGAATGATTGTCAATTGTAACAGGAAACCACAATCATTTATCCTAAATAACTTAAAACTTGTAACAGTAGAAATCTATTTATATTTAATTTTACTGTTTTATTGCCTTTTGAAATCTATCTAAATAATAATCCCACCACACAAATTGTAAATCACTCGGCATACATGCAGCTCACGTAACAGTATCAAACATAATGCACGTGCTGCTCACGAGCATACCTTGTGAAGAATTTTTATTATCATTACTGTTTTTCGTTATCTTATCAAATCTAACCTTATCTAACCTAACAAGTTTCTAATTTTTACATTTTAGTTACTTTTTATAATAATAAGTAAAGAATACACATGAAAAAAAAGAAATATAGTACTTATCTAGATCTTTATTTATGCTGTCAACTGTCAATGAAACTTAAGCCTAATTTTTCATACTAATGGTACTACAACACTAAATAATTTTTCAATTAATTAAATATTGCACCTGAAACCACAGAAAAATAACATGCAGAAAGCAAACAATGTTTTATAACTATCATAATTCTTCTGGATTCCTAACTATGCAGTAAGATCCTTTAAAAATTCAGCTAAAATCATTGATGTGATTCCCATGAGAATAAATTGAAATTTAATGACGAAATAGACAATGTCCTGTAGAGAAAACTTAGTAACATAATCCCGATAGATTAAACATTGGCTTTCCATTGGTTATAAATAATATAGTACAGAACATAGAGAAATATTGGCAATTTGTGAAAGAGAGGATGTGACAGGTAGGGTTGGCAAGTGGATCTGATTTTCTAGTTTATGTCTCTTTAAACAAATAAGATTGAAGGCTATGAAAATTATGCTTTGCATGACTAGTACTTATATTATAATAAACCCATTAGACAATCATAATGTATATATGCTCTGATCCAAGAGATTGAATTGACTGCACATTTTATATTTATTCCTTGCTATTTTTAGGAAAACTACCATTGAATTGTTTCAATGGGCATCTGCTATTAGAGTATAAAATCTCAGAAAGAACTATTAGCAATTTGTGAAAAATAGGATGTGACAGGTGGGCATGACCATTGGGTCTGATTTTCTAGTTTATGGCTCTGTAAACAAATAAGATTGAAAGTTATAAAAATTATGCTTTGCCTGAGTAATATCTATATTATAGTAAATAATTTATGTTAAATTCTGTACTTCTCAGACAGGTGGTAAATAAATTAGAGAAGAGGAAAGATCTAGAGAGCAAATGTCATAATTCTCATACTAAGGGAGATTAAGGATTTTTTTAAATATTTACTTATAGATCAAGAACTTCATACTTATATAATATTAACATTTGATTTATCAACTACGTTTGGATGCCAAGTTTATTTTTATATAATTATAATGAAGTTGTTTGTTTACATTTTTAATGTAAAAGGTTGTGACATACACACTTTGACCTACATGTTGCAAAAGAGTTAAAATCAAATACTCTGAATAGAACTAACTTGTTCACTAAGCTCTATCACAGGTCCATCTGTTTTGTTCCCTGTTGTGTCATACCAAAGGGAGTGCGAATGATTTTCAGATGGACATGATACACTAGCACCTGAGCTTCTTCTCAAAGTTATGGTGGTACTTTCTCTATTCTTTTTCCCATGTGTCTTAGTAGGAGATGGGGAGCCAGGTTTCACCCACACAGACTGAGCACGACTGGTTAGAGTAGCAGCCATCTTGTTTGTGGAGCTTGCAGAGCTTAAATAAAAAAGAAGATCATTAAATTCACAAGCATCTGTCTTCTGTAAAAATGTTTCTAACAGATTCATTACACTATAAATAACATAATATACGGAAAACAAGGACTCATTTGGTACTTCAAGGCTTTTCTTGCATATTTGATTTTGAGAAAAGTAAAAATATAAACTCATCCTTTATTTTTCAGGAACTTATTGATTCTCCTATTAAACTCATATAAAGTGCCAGCTTCCACTTCTGATAACAACTCATTCCATAGGTCAATCACCCTGTTATAAAATTAAACTGTCTTAACTGTAGCCTAGCCTGTCGTATTTAAACCTTTAACTTGTGTCTTCTCATCCTGTTGTCTTCAGAACACACCACAAAAAAATGACAGGCCTCTATCCTGTCAATCCTATTACAGAATCTCGTAGACTCCAATAAGATCATGTCTTACACTTCTTTTCTCAAGAAAAAACAAGAACTATTAGTCATCTATCTCTGGAGTCATTCTAATAGCCCTCCATTGAATCCTTTCTAACAAGTCAATATCCTTTCTTAGATAAGGAAATCAAAACTGTACACAATATTCCAAGTGAGGATTAACTAGTGATTTGTTTAGAGATAAATACCCCAAATACAATGCCTACAAATACACCCTCAAATTCTATTAGCTTTACTACTACCAACAGTGACATATCCACCACTATGCCAAAATATTTTCCTACATTCACACTACTGTGTGGATTCCTACCTATATCAAACTTATGATCCAAGTTATAACCCAAATGCATTAACTTTCACTTACTATAATCAAAGTTCATTTGCCAAATATTTGTCATATTTTTCAATTAACCCAAATCATTTTGTCATATCTCAGCATCATCAATATAGATGAACTACCCAAGAACTTAAATTCAACAGAAAACTTCAATAATTTGCTAATTATGCCCCTGTGAACATCATTATGTAAATTAGAAAAGGTAAAGGCTCAAGCATTGACCCCAGAGGCACTCCACTAGAGAAAGGGGTTCAGTTTGCTTTTTAGCATCCAACCACCCTACATCACAATTACCTATTATTTTTCAAACCCTATCAATATGATCTTTAAAATCAATCTTTTGTATGAAATTTTATCAAAAGATTTCTAAAAATCTAAGCGTGCCAAGTTCACACCCTTTTCATCATATAGATAAGTAACATCCTTGAACAAAGATAATAAGTATGGGAAGATCCTCTTTGATAAACTCATGTTTACTTTCATTTATGATATCATACTTCAATAAAGGAATTTGTAAAGATTTTTTTTAATAGATCCTTTAGCATTTTTACCCTTATAGAAGTAAAATTAACAAGACTGTAATTTCTAGGACAATTCTTATCACCTCATACAAAATAGGAGTTAACATTAGCAACTCTCTAATTCTTAGGCTGTCTACTGACCTATCTAAAATGAGAGCGGTTCTCATATATGATCTTTGACCTACTTTAAAATCACAAGAAAATTTTGTCTGGCCCTGTTGTTTGATCTCTTTTAATTTCTCAGTATTTCTAATTGTCACCAAAAAATTAATATCTTAACTAAGGTCAATTCCAAAACTTCCCATAGAATGGTCAGGAATGTTCCTGATATCTTCTATTGTAAAAGCAAAACATTTAAAAGCCAAGCCATCAAATAGTATTCACCAAAAACCTTACTATTAGGATCCTTTAAAGGCCAAATCCTCATTTTAAAATTTGGCTTACATTTAACATATTTACTATTAATTTAACATTATCAACCAGTTGCTTATCTCCTAATTTCTTTTCTAACCAAACTCCTAGCTTTCCTATACTTCTGTAAATCTTCCAACCAATATGCCAATTTACACCTCTTAAACTTATGTTATTTATCCCTGATTTTCTTTTTAATGTCTTGAGTAAGCTAATTAGGTTTGACTTTTCTATTACTGTTTTCCTCTTTTTAGGAGCATACCTCTCTTGAATTAATTTGTTTTTGAAACTTAACCATATCTGTTCCACATCACTATTAAACTCATTATTATAATTTATTAAAGATAAATCTTGCCTCATGATCTCAGAATTAGCCTTCTGAAAATTACAAAATAAAATTTCATTTTTATCTCAACACGTAGCAAAAAATCAAACCTAATTATGCAATGATCACTGTTTCCCAGATGTTCCCTCCTTTAACTTTTGCAACCATATTCTCATTAAAATGGTTACCAATAAATTTAAAATGGTATCCCACTTTGTTGCCTCTCTAACAGTTTGGTATACAAAACTTTAATTATAATAATAAACACAAAAACTAAGCTTTTATAAGAAAATCTTTTAAGGTAGAAAATATTGGCCAAAACTAAATGTTAAGTATTGTTCTTATCTCTAGCTGTAAGATCCTTGAAATTTTGGTTTGTCTAACCATCTACCAAATACAGAGGGTTTGGTACAATTCATTAAAACAATTTTGAATATGCAAGTCAGCAAGTCCTGTAACAACCACAGATGATTTAAAGTTGTGATGAAAAGGCATGTAACATAACTACATTTTGATATTGTTGGTGTTACATAGGTAGTGTGGTGCTACCAAAAACTGATCACCTTTAGGAAGGATATATAACAGCCCTCTCCAATGTAAAATATTCAAGCACCAAAATCATAAAGATGTGTTAAGGGGTTTAGATTTTCCAAGATGGGGATACCTCTTGTACTTAATAACACTGGAAAATAAAGCCTATGGATCAAGTTGAAGCACTAGGACCATCCAAAAAGAGACAATTTATAAGTTGTAGTCCATCAATGATAAGAAAAGTGTAATGTCTTCTAAGGTGTGGATCCTCAAATACAAAGGTCAGTGGGAAAAGCTGTTCAGGCTACAGTATGCAACATAATAAAGAAGGACCTCCATTTGGAAAAGTGACAAATTCATACCTAAAAACATTGCTTCCACAGCAAGTCCATTCAACCATTGCATACCTTAAGCACCTAGAGAATGAATCATATATTCATGATAATACATATAAATACACACTGGTTAAGTCACAGCTCCAGAACCTATGTATTTCTGTGCAATCAGACTGTTAAAAAGACACTTTACTTTCTTGTTGGTCAGAGAGAAACAGTATCTCTTCCAGTATTCAAGCAAACTGCAAAATGAAGCACATGCTCCATCCTTCACATTCAGCTGAAGTGGTGGTGTTGTTACAGTAACAGGCTTCTATGACTACCCACTGGTAGCAACTGCAGCTGAAACTTAACACCTGGCTGTTTTTTTGCAGAAGCAGAGCTATAGATTAAGCTCATGCCTTGCAAGATGGTGGCATCTGTAAAATACTATATGTTAGAAGTTGGATCATTGTAGCTATATCTGTTGACCTTCTTTTCTCCAGGAGATTGTTTAATGTGATAATATCAAACAGTTTCTATCAGAGAAGAAATGTCTGACATTCAAGAAATGCCACATGAACTTGTTTGTAAGGTCATCATCAAACTTACCAAGAAGATCTCTTCACATTATTGAGTAAAATTTTCCATGTAGGCATCACAAATCAATGGCATAAGTGGACAACTTCTCATCAGGCCCATACTTTTAAGTTTTGATCTCCACCTTGTTGATGGCTTGGCTGTAGCTGTACCAAGTCACTGAACTGATATAGCTTCTTGGCCAACTGACATTTTCCAGAACTTAAAAATGTACTGTCTCTTCTCAATGTTTGGAGGATCCAGCATCTGAATGAATGCACAAGACTTGTTCCTTACCATCACAGCATTGAAATGCAGTCATGTATGTTTCATTTGGCTGCTCTACTTGGTATAGAGCCTCCAGATTATCTCTAATAACTTCACTGGCCCAAGGGTCCTCAGGTTACTCCTAGATACACAATGAACCACCTGGTGGTAACTCCATCCAGCAGTATCTAGAACTCCCTCCATGTCACTGGCAACTTCAACTAGTGGAGCTGGTTAAGCAGATTGGTTGTGATAATCTAGGAGAACTACAAACACTTCCTCCACTTGGCCTCAAACTGACTAGACCTTATAACACCATAGCAACCACAATTCATCAGCTTCTACCATTGGAGAACAGGTCAGAAGAAAAAGACTGATCAACAGCTTAAAAGGTCCTAGACAGCAGCTTATCTCTTGATCTAGTAACTGGACTGAAATCTAAAGCATGGTTCATTGGATTTGTGGTAAGAACCTCAAATCCAGAATTGAACCTCTTCAAAGCCACTGCAGGTTTTCTGACCGTAGTTGCATCTCACCAGTTGGCTCCTATACTTCACCATAAGTTCTTTATCATCTTCAATCTAATCTTTCTACCTAAACTAAGGTCAAGCATAGGCTTTGCTTGAGTACAGAAGAGCACAAAAAAGCATGTTAAACTACAGCAAACAAATTAATTCAGACCACAACAACAAGATGCACTGGGTTTGGAAACCAAAGTATAATTAATTCTATCTCAGCCACAAATAAGATAGAAGCAGGAACAAAATGTTTCATAAAAGAGAAATAAACAAAAGATTTATAAAATGCATATAAATCTTCACATATAAAAAAACAGCAAAAAAATAAATAAAAATACTCTTTCTTTGACATCAGCCATCTATATATATTTGGATGCACAACAAAATACAACTTAATCAGAGGATCGTTGATGCAAAATCTAAAAGAGAACTAATTTTGTTTTGCTTTTGCTTATACTCAATCCAAAGCTCAAAATGCCATGTCACACTCATCACTAATTAGCAGGGACATACTGTGTGTAGTGCAAGTGGTTTGTTCACAAGGGTGCCAACTTGTTGAAGGGGGGGGGGGTGTGCCTGATTGAGTAACAATGTGAACTAATGGGTTGGGGGGTGCAAAATTTATATGTCGTGCAGGGTGCCATCAAACATCGGTACAGCCATTCATACTAGTCCCATTTACAGAAAGAAAAAACATGGTTTCAAATATCTCCATCTCCACACATGAACAACACACCATACAGTTGTTAAAAACTAATACAAAACTTATCA